CCATTCGTTGTAGAAATATACAAACATCAATTTTCATAATGATTTCATTGCAAGGAAGTAAACAAATAAATAAATAAGTCAAACAAAATTTATTTTATTTATTAAAAGCAGCGGAAAACCATTTGTCCTTACAATGCAAAATCTATTGAAAACTATGTAAAAGGAAAATTTCTAACAACTCCATCATAACTATCTAAGCTCAAAATCCAATCTTCAAGTCCATGCGATCGAGATCCATCTCTTGTGATTAGATTCATCTTGCTCTCTTATCAAGTTTCCTTTCTTTTCACCGATCCTACAAAAAACACTCAAATGCAATCTTATTACATCATGTATTAAGAATCAATGAATAGGAACTTAACGGAGTTAGATAGTGGATTTTACCTGAAGCGTAGTCATACTTTTGACTCTCCCATCTCTTAGATCTCTAAGGTAAATAAGGAACTTCGTCTCCAATGCCCCTTCTCTTGGCAATAAAAGCAAATTGACTCTTTTGGAACAACACATGGAACTACTTCAGACATCGCCTTTCTCTTATGATGAAACTTTTCGATCATTGCATGTCTTTCATTGCCATTGTCTATATCCATAGAGGTCTTGAAGGCAGATTCACCAATCAACTTTGCTTTTCTATTGCGCCAAACCATTGCTGATTCACACTACTAGAAAAATAGCCTTTTACGACGCGCGAACCATGACACGCAGTGATTTATGATACGCAAAGGTGAGTATCTAAAAAATAATGTCATCTCTTCCAAAATTTAAAGGATTTCAGACACGCATTTTTGCTTGCCCTAAAATTAGTGTCTAAACAAAAAAAAAACACGGAAGGCACCTGCGTGTCGTCTACGACTGTCGCTTTATAAATTTTAATAGAACGCGCGCGTTCCATCAGGGGAAAATGAAATCCCAAAAACTTAAAATCCCCGTCTTCCTAATTTTTTTCCCTCCACTTTAATTTCCCTAGTAGCTAGGGCTTTTTTCAAGAACTTGCCCCGATTATGCCCTCCTGTACTGCTCGTTCTCTCTTCAACTTCCCTCTCTCTCCTTCTCACTTTGACAAACCCTTTCTCTTCTTCTCAGTTCTCGACGTCGACAGCTTCTCCCACCTCCGACGTTTCTCTTGGTGTTGGCACCTCGCACCTCTAACCTCCGTCTAGCCTCGCCCCACCGTCCAGGATCCAACATCCTCCGCTTCATAACCTCCTCCAGAAGATTCCAATCTTCCAATGAGATCTGAACGCGTTGAATCTTTCCACTGTTTTTCAATCGAGATGGATCTACGACAACGCCATTTTTACTCGTTAGAGGTGGAGATCGAGCAGGAACTTATTTCAAAACCTTGTCTCTGAATCTCACGAGGCTTATTAAACGATGAAGCCAGATGATTAACTCAAGTATGTATCGATCCATCTTCTATTTACCAGCGTGATAAAGTGTTTGAAGTCGAATAACATTATTGCTCTGTGTTGTCTTCTTCCCAAACTCATTGTTGTTGAAAAAACGAGTCTAATTAGGTCAATTATCAATGAACCACTATATCTACAAGTGACATATCACAGGCATCAGAATCTTAATTAGGTTTTAATTCTTATGTTTATACCCCTTTTTTATTTGCCTGTTTCAATTCCGTTTGTCATAGTGATGACGAAAACCCTAATCAATGTGTGTTTTTCTTGCATTTATTGGAGAATTTATTTCATCTTAAAACCTAAAATTTCTCTTTTGGTTTAATAAATAGTGTTTAGGGCCTGCCTGCACACCAAATAATTGAAGCTGGAGAAGACGACGAGTCTGAATTGAAGTTAAAGCCATAGAAGATGAGGCATCTGATGCCCTGGGTTCTGGAGAAGACTATTCAAACAAGTATTCATTGATTGCAAATATTAATAAAACATACGGTTGTCTCACTCTCAGGTTACAAAAGTTCTTGATCCTCCTAATTTTCTTCTTTCTGAAAATCTCAACTGTTGAAGTGAAGTTTTCTATCAGTAGCACCATACTATTTAGTGTTTCTGTGTTTAGTGTTGACTGATACCAAAAATTGAAAGATAAGAGATTTTTGTGCCATTTGGTTTGGCGATTTAAGGAATGAATATAGGAATTGAAACTTGATTTGAGCTTCAATATTTGAATTGGACATCTTATTATCTTTAGGCGAGCTTAATTTTTGGATTCATTGATGCGACAAAGGAAGAAGAATGGTGATGTTTTGGTGTCGGACTAAACAATCACAGCTCAGAAGCCCTAAACCAATACAAGTAATCAATTATCTACTTCAATCTTTTTTCTAATCATTTGCTGATTGATTTCTTTTTCTAATAAATCATATTTGTTAATGCAGAGCTACCCAATAATACCTTCGTTTTTCTCGATTCTCATTCAGAGGTTGCACTTGCACTCTTTTTCTACAAAAAATGAATTTATATTGTAGGATTAGAGAAATATTTATATAATTTATTGTTTTTTAGGTAGCCCTGGCTTCGAGCCATCGGATGATGCGTCTCCCCTGTCATTTAAGGGACTCACTGCTTCATGAAATAGAACTCGGCATTCTTAAGGTTTTAGAAAATAAAGAGATCGAGAAAATGATTCTCTCAGATATTTTCTGCAGATGTGCTTTTTTGTCAAATTTCCTGTATGGTTCGTATGTTACAAGGTATTTTTATTCTCTAATCTTGGTGATTTTTATTTAAAATATAAAAGGAAATTTTACCAAATCATTTTGTTGCATTAGGTTGAAAGAAGAAAATTTTCTTTCTTCTCCAAAGTTGGTCAGTACATGTTAGAAATGCTGAGTCATGCTGTTTCAGTGATTGAAAAACGTTCCAGTGATATTTTTATTTAAAATATAAAAGGAAATTTTACCAAATCATTTACTTTATATTCTTTATTATTGCTTGCAGTGAATGTGTTGGAATTGGAATTGGCTAGCATATTTGGCGGATTGTTGGTGATTAGTCATAATGTAAGTAATAAGTTGCATATTAGTGTATATGTATGTATTTTGCTTTGATGTTGTTTGTTTACAATTACAGCTTTGGGACCTGAGAAACGAAGGCAGATGATCTTCTTCTTCAGAAGAGGATCGATACCAACAACTTTTGGGGCGAAGAGAGGATTTCCCGCTTCACATGTTGGTTTCTCTGTTATCGTACCTGGTGTTTGGGTTCCTTCCACCGTTGTATCTGGGTTTTCATTCCGTGAGAGCAACGACAAAATCAGGGCTACCTCCTAAACATGTTGAAAATCAGGGCTACCTCCTAAACATGTTGAGAGGTATTAATGACCCCCTCAATTTATAATCAAATCAAGTTTCTTTTGAATCATAGTGTGACTTGAGTTGTGTTTTAATTTATGTTTATCATTTAGGTTTGTATTTGCGGTTCAAGTTTTGGTGATTCTCACTAATGTTTCAGGAATTTGCCAAACACTGATGGTATAGAACCCTTTAATCTTGAATTTTCTCTTGTGCAGTAAGATTTATATGAACATTAAAGTTACATGTTTTGTGCCAAATTTTGAAGTTGAATAGCATTCCTGAAAGATATTGTTATAAAGAAGAGGGAAAAATGCTTCAATCAAGTAAATGTATTCCTGAACAGTTAATATTTGTCATTGAACTGTAGGTAGACTCGTTTGCTTACCTACCTCCTAACTCAAAGCATCACTTTGAGAGTTATGAATCTTCTACACTTGTTGTATTTGAAAAAAGGTATGTTATTCCTTCTCTTTATTTCATCCTGCATCTGTGTGTGTGTTATCAATTAACCACAAGGGCTAAAAAGTAATTTAACTTTTGTGTAGGTATGCTTACCTAGAAGATCATATTCCCGAGCCAATTGTTGGCTCCACCAATTAGCAGCCACTTCTTGATACCCCTGGAGACGTATGTACTTTTTTAACAATCAACCTAGTAGAATAAGAGTCCACTTTTTTACTATTAATTTTTTTACTGTTTCCATATTAGGTATTCCATATTAATTTTTTTAACAATCAACCTAGAATAAGACATCACTGCCCTTTTGAGTCTCAAGAAAATGCAAAACCCTGCAGTGACACTGTTACCTTTTGGTTTACCAATCCAATCTACATGTCACTTTCCTTAGTAACTGATTCACTAGGATCCATCAAAGGCTCTATCTTTCTGCTGAAGAGAACCGTCCCCTTTGATTACTGATAAATTGATGGTCATTCATATTTTCTTTATCTATCCCCTCAAAATGAAATGTATCTCAATTATTGCAGTTTCAAACTGAGAAGAAGCATTCAGATTGTCTGGATGTCTTAAGCGAGACACATAACAGAGCCTCAGATCAAAAGATCCAGATTGGTGCTGATCCGGGTGATGGTTACACAAAGCACATTTTTAGAGGCTAGATGCAAGTAGTCTCTCTCTTTCTCTATCTCCTTTTTTTTAAATAAATTTGGTTCTCATTGTTGGCTTCTGAATAGCTTTTATTAATCCTTGTAATTATATTTTTATTTTTTTCTATCAGATGTGCATCCTCAGTTCAGTCCTTGATAAGTGCCTAAGGCTGCTTGGTTTTGAGTCGGCAGCACCTTGCGATACCTCTTGCAAACTCAGGTATGTAGCTTTATTATTCCGAATAGCTCTTGTTTTCTAGTATTAGAAGATCATATGTATTGATTTCATGCATAACAATAGAGAGATATTGTAGCATCTTTAATAGAGCTATGTAGCATTATAATCCTTCAAATGTGATGGAAACATATGAGGTGCAACGAATAAGCAAAGAAAACTCTTAATCCCAATGATGTCAATAATCTTCCAGAAACTAAAAATCTTCATTGTTTGTACGATGCATGATATATTTGCATCCCATGCTATATTATTTAGATGCTTTAACTTTCATTAATTGGTTTGAATGTTGGTGTTTAGTAATTAAACTCAATTTATTCCTCTTTTTATTAACAAATTTTATTTATTCATGATCTTCAGCTATCTTCTGCTTGTGGGCGGCTTGTAATTTCAAGTGATGGAGTCTGGGATACTCTTTCCACTGAATCAGCTCTGGAATGCAGTCGCGGATTGGCTCCGGAATCAGCAGCAGCACAAATTGTCAAAGTACGGAAACAAAAAAATGTCAAATTTGTAATAAAATATTATGCAATGGATTCTATTTTTGTATGACATTAAATTTTATGAAATGGATTATATTTTTTGTATATGATATTTTATTTTCTATTATGATGCATTAAATGCAAATTTAATTTGAAAATTAGTAAATCTATAAAAAAATATTTTTTTAAACATTTAAAATTATGATACGCAAAAATGTGTGTCATCTTCATTTATGATATGGCCTTTCTTGATAGGGGCTTTCTTGATACGCATTGTGTGTCATTAACACGCGCGTCGTAAGGTTACGACACGCGAATGCGTGTTGTCTTCCTTTATGACAGGGTCTTCCTTGATACGCATTGCGTGTCGTAAAGGCGCGTCGTAACTCGCATCGTCGATGACGCGCAAAAGCGCGTCGTCTCTCTTTATGACAGGGCCTTCCTTGACGCGCATTTGCGCGTGTCTGAGCCATTTACGACGCGCAATGAGCGTCGTAAAAGGCTGTTTTTCTAGTAGTGTCAGCAACAGTAAGCATATAGGTGAGATCAATAAGGGTCACATCATGGTTCATCATATAGTACTCTTTACGAACTCACTATACGAGTTAGAAAGTGACTGAAGAACCCAATCAACAGCCATCTCTT